ATTAATAAAAATTAAGTACATTTGAATAAAATAAAATAATTTTTTATTCTATAAATGACATTATTATTATTTTTTTAAGTTTTTATATTTTTAGTTAAATATTATATTTTGAATATTTGTATTTTATTTTTAATTTTTTTTTCTTACATTTTTTATGTGAAATTGTAACATGAGTTTCTTAAGAAATTAATTTATTTGTTAATGAATAAAAAAAGGTCTTAAAAAATAAGGCTACTCTCATACAATTATGAATCTTTCTGATAAATATTTTTTGTTATTCAATCAAATTAAGTAATCCAATCATTATCGTATGACGAGTTGTGATACAAATATGAAAAAATTGATGAATGATACTCTCATTAATTATTTATGCAAAGAATGTAATCATCATTAATTTACGATTTTTTTTTTAAATATTGGCATGTTTTCCCCTTCGGTGCTTCATTTTCTCATTCGCCTGTAGAGCATAGATGTTTCGTTTTCCCTTGGCTCCTCTCTCGTGAATTGAAACCTTAAGCATATTTCTCTTCTGCGTGCACAAGCCCAAACAACAAAAGCATTTACTAAGGGCTTTTCTTCTGAGTTGATTATCAGTCATTAATGTCAACATATGCAAACGGTCAACAGAAGATATTATTCTGACCTGTCAGTTTACTCTCCACTACCCGGCTCAGCTCATCATGTGCTCTGCCATCCTCGTTTCTCTGCCGTAGCCGCTGTTACTTTCGGTTACAGCAGCATATTATATACTCTGTAATTGATGCAAGCAAGCAGCGAATAGATGAGAAAAATTGAAATCCATTGTTCTTCTCCTCTCTAACCTTGTTCCTTGCAGGTTAACAATTAAGACATGCTAATGTTGATATCACTCATGGACAACTTGGATTCAACATCCCAAAAAAGTGAGGTGAGCATGAATTGATGTTGGTGACTAAAAGATGACCACAACTTGATGAACAATCTAACCTAAGCCATTAATGAACATAGAAATCTCAAACTACACCACTCAATGTAATCTCATGAAAATGGAGGAAAGGCTGACCAAAACAATCCAAGATGTCTTTAGAAGAGCAAGCACCAAGGGAGAGCACCCCCAAAGAATTTTCTAATTCAGATGTTCATTGTAGGAGGCCGGAGAGCAGAGCACTAATCTCAAATTGTATAGAGAAGCTTTTGCTGGTTTATGTTTACAAATAAGAATCTTTATACTTAAATTTCAACCAATTAATAATTTCCAATTTACAAATAAAAATCTTTATACTAGTATAAAGTTGCAGAAATCTTATAATATATATTGTTGATTAACTGCCAAAAGCTTTGGCTGATCAAAAGTATGAGGTATTCTTTTTCTAAAATTTTGATGTTTTTAGTTTCTTTCAAATGTTAAATATCTTTTATTTTAAAATTTTCAGTCAAGACATAAAGCTTCTGAGACAGCAATTGTAAATTATTGTGTTAGTTTTTGTAGGTTGCTCTTTAAGATTATAATTTTGATTTAGTGCAAGCAATTTTTTTTTTAATAATTCTTATTTTACTTTTATTTCATTTTATAGGTGCTTGTTATGGGTGATGATTAGATCATTTATTTGAATGGTAACAAAGTATTATGAATGCCTTGAGTGATATTAGTTTCAATGGTTGAGACACCCTGTATTGTGATATTATGATAGTTTTTAGTGTTTGTAAGTTTTACTATTTTTTTCTAAATTGATGTCATTTACAAATGAAAATCTTTGTATTTGGATTGAATACTACCATAATTTATATTATTAATTGGTATACTTCAAAAGCAATGTGATTAAAAACAATTGAATGACCTTATATAGGGGTGTAAGTGAGCTGAGAATTATTAACAAGCTCATGAGCTGAGCTTATCAAGCAACGAGTTCGAGCTCGAGCCTATACTCGAGCTCGTATGTTAAACGAGCTCGAGCTCAAGCCTGGCTCGGCTCAAAAGCTCGTTGAGACTCTCGATTTAATTAAAATGCATTTAATAATTAATTAAATTTTATGAACAACTTAAATTGATCTCAACAATCGAGTCGAGCTCGAGCTTTCTAAATGAGCTCGAGCTATCCAGTCAAGTTCGAGCTTATGAATTTTTTAACAAGTCCAGCTCGAGCTTAGTAAACGAGCTCGAGCTCGACCTCAGTAACAGCTAAACAAGTTTAGCTCGATGAAAGAGATACTCGACTTGACTCATTTACACCCATAACATCATGTTAGGTTAGAGTTTTGGTTGACCCATTAATTACCCTCTACAAGCTATATATATCTGTCTCCAATCAGTGAAGCATCTGTATAAAATCAATTCCCAAAAATGATATGAAAGTTAAGAAGCACAAGCCTAGTAAGTGGAATATATTAGATCACAACACAAAGAAGAGTGGAGGAATTCAGGTTTTTGGTTTTTTTCTGAGATTTATTTTTTCTGGAAGTCTTTTTCTGAGAATTTAATGGCAGTAACGACAGTAGTGTGGGCAGCAATCACAGTCCACAGCCTGTATGTAGAATATTTATTTCTGAAGCCTTGTAAGTTGTAAGAATGGAGACCACTTATTTTTGAGCTAGGAAAGTTAGCTGTGGGCTGGGCTTGGCTTGTTAATGGTGTGGGTCCACACTTAAAGATCATTACAGATAGAAAAAAAAATATTTCAGCCATATCCTTATGATAGCAGCGTCATCTATAGTGAAATATGGTTAGGGAAAGAAGGAAGTTTAGTGCCTAAACAATATTTATGTTTGTTTAGGAAAAATTTTTTATTGCATTCTAAAATTACATTTTTTTACAAAAAAAAATTAGTTATAAAATTTTTGTATTGAAAGTTGGTTTATGGTTTAGTAAGAAAATTATTCCCTCTATCTAAGGCTTCATTTGTGATGGCTTTCTTACTGCTTCTTAAAGCAACTTTTTAGAACAAAAATTTTAATTTTTGCACTAAATAATTGCTTTAAGAAGTGGTAAGAAACCTGTCACTAACGAAGCATAATTTATTTATCAAAAGCTAGATAGGCTTCATTTGGGACTGTTTTCTTGTCGCTTCTTAAATCAACTTTCTAGTAAAAAATTAATTTTTGTGTACTAAGAAGCTTCTTTAAGAAGCAGTACTAAAGTCATCCCAAATGAAGCCTAAAAGCTAAAAAAATTTAATTTTTGTACCAAAGAGGTTCTTTAAGAGCAGTAAAAAGTCATCTCAACTGAAGCCTAAGACTTATTTGGGATGATTTTTATACTATTTTAGCGTTTTAATATAAAATTAATTTTTTTTACTAAAACATTATTTTAAGAAATAAGAAAGCTGTTTAGAAGGAAGTTACCTATATAGAGGAATCATTGCATGATCTCATGTATGTACGGTTGACGAAATGAACGTTGGTTGTTCAGGCTTCGTTTGAGACGACTTTCTTTCTGCTTCTTAAAATAATTTTTTAGTACAAAAATTTTCAATCTTTTACTAAATTTAAAGCATAAAGAAAGCCATTCCAAATGAAGGCTCAATGGGACGTAACGCCGTAGATATTGATCATTTAAGGCAATGGGGTCATTGCGGTGAATAAAAGCATATTCATTTTTCAGCCCCAACAAGGCAACAAGATTTCAAAGTGGGCTACCAATGACGAACTCATTTATTTTGGGAAGAAAAAAGTCTAAGAGCACAATGACTATGTCCAAAGAAAGACCAGCTTCTAGCATTTAAAAGTTGAAAAGGCCAGTTCAGGTTGACATGTTTCTGAAAGCATACACCTCCATTTCAATTTTAAGTAAATAACTAAATATATCAGGGTGCCCTAAATATGGTAGTTAAATCTGAAGTTCATTTGGGGATATATTAACCTTATTTGATCAATCAATCATATATCACTATACTTTCTTCATTTAAAGCATAGATCTGACAATTTTAAGATATGGCTGAGAATATAATATCAGTTTGTAATGAAAAACTATTTTATTCCAAACAGAATAACTAATTTACTTTCAGCACAATAACTTCACAATCAATTCATCTCAAACAGACGCTAAATCTCTTAAGAAAATGATAAGATACATTATCTCTAGTCAATTTTTTATTTATATAGACTTTAAATGGCTAAATCGCTTCCAATTTCTCTAGTCGTTAGCTAATAAAGACTTTTAAAATGATAAATTACAGTACAAAGGGTATAGTACGTTGTATGCATCGATCTAGTTAGGGGTGTCAATTCGGGTCAACGGGTCGGGTTCGGGTCGAGCCCGGATTGGGAAGTTATTATGCCTAAATCATTTTTTTAAAAAAGTTATTGTGGATATTATAAATATGTTCTTTTTTTTAATTGAACACCTACTTTATTAAACCACCATACATAAATATCAGATTGTAAAAGCAACCTACAATCATATAAATTTCTAAAAAGCAGCAAAAAAAAAAGTTAATTGAAATTGCAATTGCAATTTAAAAAACAAGCAATGAAAAAGCTATCCCAAATAGATCCTTGATGTTGGTGAAAAAAGTACTTGGTAAAAATTGCTAATTAACTTTGAAAATCCTTACGTGCTCAATTACTAATCGAACCTTATAGCATTTCCTGAGGGCTCGCCAACTCTACTATCAACTCATCAGATTATCCCAAACAAACAACTATAATATAATTCTCATACACAAAGAGATTTTAGATTCATAACATAACAACAACAACATCAAGTCTTTATCTCACTACGTGGAGCCAGCTACATGAATCTTTTTTCTCCATCTGTGTTCTTTTAATTATCAAATTCTCATTTCAATCTAATAAAAAAATGTCATTTCTATTTTTTTCTAACCAAATTTTTTTAGATCTACCTCTGCTTTTTTAACATAGGTCAAATCTATTACATCTACTCGCCTAATAAGATCATAGGAAGGCAACCATTTTACAAGACCAAACCATCTAAGACACTATCTCTAACCTTTTCACATATATTCATAATAGAATCCAAATGAATACAAAACACTCAAATTACACGCAGAAGAAAACCTCAAGCAGAAAGGAAATTTCTCACACGTTAACATTCCATCACTTAATTTCACGAATTATGAACAAACAAAGCGTTCTCACATTATTGATCAGAACTTGAGATTTCTTCTAGGGATGAGCTTGCTGGGGTCTTCCCATGAATTTGCCCTCATCCCAGGACGCAATAGCTGAGGAGTAGTAGGCCACGGTGAATAATCCATGAGCAAAGCAAAGGATCCCTCCTATGGAAAGGAAATGGCGGTGCCCGAACCCGCAAGTGGCTTTTGACTTTGCGTTTGACATAGCTCCTATCATCAGCAATGAGAAGCCGACCAACACTATAACCCTGAAGATGGAAAGCAAAAGCCAACATTGTAAATAGGCATCGGATCATGTACAGATTCAACCATAAATTAAATATTTATGAGTTATATTATTAATGATTAGCGAGGGGCTGAGTTTAAACGGATTTAGCAGTTTTTTACCTCTGTTGGGCTTCATCACAAGAAACAGAAGGCTACGTCATTGGGAATGTTGCTGTTTTCTTAATTCATGTATAGCCATGGGCGGATCTAGCCTTAATTTTTAGGAGGGGGCAAAAAATTTTTAGGAGGTTGCCCCCGGAACAAATTTTGGTTGTAAGAATATTTTTGAATTTTCTTTAGTATTTGTGTTTGTATTTGGTTCATCGTTCCAATGATAATTATGTAAATTATATTCTTTTACGAGCGGATGGGCGGGCACAGACGAGCTGGTCGGTTGGGCAGCCACGGGCGAGAAGGGGGCATATTAGGGTTATACCTTTAATTTTTTTTTAGGGTGGACATTTGCCAGACCAAAAGCAAGGGAGGATCCGCTCATGTGTATAGCCTTTTGTGTAATTAATTTGTAAATACAAATACCGATTTATATTGTAAAAAAGGTCCTGTTAATTGAATAATAAACAAAGGGAGAATTTGTTTTATGTCATGTTTGTATTCTGAAATCTGATTTAAGGTGGTGGTATTTTATAAAGAAATCCTCTGCCCAGCAGTTGGACACAAACCCAAGCTTTGTTCCCCATTTCTAGCAACCAAAGTGGGTTTTCATCATATATCTTATCCGCTTGAAAATGTTTGAAATTTGAAGGGTTCCACATAGCATTTTATTTCCCTATTAGGTGGATCATTTTTTTGTCGAAGAAATTGGACCTATGACCACCAAACAATATACTGTTCTTAGGCCAGTATAAACCCTGGTCGACCTAGCATGCAACCCACACCAATTTATAAGGGCCAACACTTAAGGCTTTCACTGCTTGCCAAGGATTCGAACCAGGAACCTGGGCTTTGCCCAGCCGGCACTAAACAATATATGACTAGTAGGCAAAAGTCTATTCTTTTTTAACGAGGGTAGTCAGATTATTCTACTATCATTGAAGGAAGATGTTTCCAATAATGCAACTGGGGAACTTGTACCTTTTCAATCTCTATTTGAAAACTTTAAAAGAAGCTAATGAATGGTATGATTTAACCCTTGTTGAATAAAATATTGAAGCAATATGCATATAAGAGATGTTCCAAAATCTCTTACAATAATTTGAAGATGTCCTTACGGAATCTATTTCAGAAAGACTACCAATTCACGAGTAATGAAGGAATATCAATTGCCTATTTCATGAGTAAATGATCTTTTCAATTAGTTAGATGGGTTGACAATGTTTTCCAAGATTCACTTGTGAAGCTTCATCAAATTTGAATATGGGTTGGAGATGATTGGAAGATGGCATTCAAGACTTGTGATTGTTATACAAGGGACGATTATATCTTTTTTGTCATAAAAAAAAGCTTAGAATATTTATGCATCTTATGAATTAAATTTTTTGACCTTCTTGGGAAATATGTAGTGGCCTACTTCGAAAAAATTCTAGTACATAATCACAACAAAAATTTTTAGCATCACTGACTAATTTTCAAAGTGTTTCACAAATAGTGATTGTTTGTGAATCCAAAAAAAGTGTTATTTTTGGTTCTTTAATTTCTCTTGTAGGGATTGAGATGGACCCAATGAAGTTTGACACTATTTGGTAGTGGCTAATTATGTAATTATTTATGGGTGTGTGGAGATTCCATGGATTAGCATAATTTTATCCTTGAACTTATCACCCTTTCTGCTCTTAAGGGGGAGTGTTTTCATTGAAGGACGATAGCTTAATCCAATTTCGAGAAATTTAAACAAAAAATTTTGTTTGCTCAACTCACCCAATTTTGATCAGGTGTTTGAAGTGGAATGTGATGCTTCCATTGTGAGCATATGTGCAGTGCTGAACTAAGGAGTACATCCGGCCACATTTTTTACTGAGAAGCTTAAAGATTCATGTAACATCCATTATCAAATCTAGGTGATTTTCAGTACTAATCATTCATTTTAGGTTAATTGATATTTCTGAGCCTTATAATATTTAATAGGGTTGACAATGTAATAAATCTAATAGTGAAAAAATTGCTCTGTGGGCGCCGTAGCTTCAAGGGGTATGGTGCCTAGACACCAAGCTTTCAGAAAAATTGGCAAATAAATATTTTTTTGCAAATGTTGCAGCGCTGGGTCTCAATTGAGCATAATCTGGGAGCATCTATAAGATTCTCTAGAGCACTGCAACGCTTTAAAAGTAGGGGCATCGTGGCGCTAGTTCAAAAAGATAAAAATTATATTATTAAAATATCTTAAACCATTAAATAAAATCCACTCGACTACCCAAGCTGCTGAAGAGAGGAGGAGAAGAAGGAAGAGAAAGAGGAGAGAGAGAGAGAGAGAGAGAGAGAGAGAGAGAGAGAGAGAGAGGCCAAATCCTATGATTCTTTTATTGGGCCAGTTTGAGATATTGTATAGATCGGTGTAGAATCTTAAAATGTTATCTTCAATTTCAATTCCAACAATTATATTAAAATTTATGAATAATAATGTGTTTTTCTCGAAATTTATAAAATTTTCATCATGTGATTTTTAGTGTGTTATTATGTTCCTTATTACGAACATTTTAACTAGCAATGATTAGTTTTTCCAGTACAAAATTCTTAGTATATTATCGAATGTAAGCTTTTCTATCAAATGCAATAGTGACATAAAAGGCTTAAAATGTTCATATGACTATTCTTTGAAGTTAAAAAAGGAGTTCAGTAAGTATACCGTTTTACAAGAATTGATGTTTTCACTAGTAATTTTTACATCATCAAGATATTGCATTGAATGTTTTAATTCAATTAATGTTGCATTACATTTGCATTCTGCATTATGTGGCATTGAAGATGTTTTATTTTGAATCAAGAAAAAAGTGTACTATATGTTATGTTGTAAGGGCCCTACATGTACTATTCTGGCTCCATCTCCTGATGCATATATGAGAGTGATTATGACCCCACTTTTCAAATACAGATGTGGGGGGTTAAGTAACATTATATGTGACCTTTTTGGCCTCATCTACCTGATCCAGATGTAGGATGGATTCTAGCCCCACTTTTTAGATGCAAGTGTGAGAGATAAAAGGAGACATAAGTGGGCATTGAGACATGTGCATGTTAAGCATTGCAATTTATATGTTAATAGTCTAATGAATTAACTTTAAGAAATATTCTCAGATACATCCAGTAAACTTTGAATTTTTATATGAATTATGCTAGGAAAGTGAAAGTAAATTAAAAGTAAAATGTAAATGAACATATGAGAAATAAGTATATTGTACGGCATCTAGCAGGAACTTCGGTGAAAGTGGTGATGTGATTATGAAAGTATAAGTGCTAACTCCGAAATCAAGTATACATAATAAAAATATGGTAAATCCATGTCTTACTCATGCTTTATGTGTTTTGAAAGCCTTTATGTTTTCTTTGATTTATTGCTTTTAATTTAGCTGCTTTTATCCTATATAAACTGAGCTTTGACATTTAAGACGGGTGAAGGAGGAGTCTATTGAGCTAGTTAAACTTTATTCTTTTAGTGTTTCAGGAGGAGTCTATCTCTGAATCGGGCATCCGCATGCATCTCTAATTGCGTCCGATGTCCGGTGTCAATGATTTTAAACAGATTTGTTCTATTTTTTTGTTGCCGTACTTTTTTCTTTGTAAATGGCTATCATCTTTAGGTTACTAGGAAATTATGTTTGTAGAAAATTCAACCCTGGAAGTCATAATGAAATCTATAACGAATCCAACAACATGTAGCTAACAGTTGGATGAAACTACGTAAATTTCTTGGTGTATATTCTTTTTTATTTTGTTAATTAAAGATGTTTTGAATTATATCTCGTATAATCCCCCAACAATTTAAACTGAAACCAAAGAAAATATTGCAGAGTAAAAAATCATACCATGAGACAGCAAGAGTTGCTGCAGCCATTTGCCTGTTTGCTGAAGCATGTTCAAACTCTTGCCTTGAGCAGATGCAAGTGCACCCACCAAGAAGGTTAGCAATCACATGAGCTGCTGCCAGGATTACTGCAGCTGCGATCCCAAGCCTGTAGGCTTGATGGACTGGCTCCTTACACTCAAAGATAAGCACTCTCAAGTTCTTTCCCTGCGAAACAACATTTATAGCAGGCAAGAAGCAAGATTTCATGAATCAGAAAGTAATAAAATACGAATCTTCTATTACCTTGCTTTGGGCTATCTCAGCTTCAATGCCTAGTATGCCTGCAACAATGTCCATGATTACAATCAAGAGGCACACAACGATCCCACCAACCCTCACCATTCTCAGAAACTGGTAGAATCACGATGGATGGGAAGGTAGAGGAGGAAACGGAGAATTGAAGTGTTCTTTTTGATGTCCTGCGGCCTTGCTTTGCAGCCAAGATAGAATTCATTTTAGAACTTATAAAACAACGAAAAAAGGTTATGCTGAGAATGAGATTCTCTGTTTTGAACAGTTCTGATGTATTAGCTGTGAAAAAGATGCTTTCGAACTTTTGTATAATGGGTTAACCTTTGCTTCTTTTCTTTTAAGCTTTGATTCCATCGCAATAGGAGCAAGGAAAGTTTGGCATATATGATACTGTAGGTCATAAAGCAAACCTGATAATGGTTTCATCTTTATTGTATTCATCGAATTCATTTTGTATAAAATATGTGATGAAATTCATTTTGTATAAAATATGTGATGAAATATAAATTTTTATTCATGCAAGAATCGTTGACCGCAGCTTGGTTTTTGAGGACCTTTTTTGACGTATTAATAAGACAGGTTGGTGTGACTAAAAATTAGTAATTTTTTTTAGTAAAGAGTTAATATAGCTTTATAAGGAAACATGCCGAAACATCAGAATATGCTCACATACACAACTCTTTTTGGCCTATTGGTTAAGAGCTTAGGCTTCCAACTAAGAGGTCCAGGGTTCGAGTCTATGTGTATGCGTTGTGTGTGTGAGTTTGCCTTAAAGGGCCTAAATGTCAAAAAAAAAAAAAAAAAAGAATATGCTCACATTTAATTGTAAGAATTTATTAAATAAAATGACTAAAAGCATTTCTCTATGGGTGCTTAAAAGTCAAAATTACATCTGACAAGTTACTTTAAGTCTTAAATTTTAAGGAAGTGTGACAAACAATTGATATTTAGTGAACACTTTTTAAATCTATAGTGACTTACGACTCAAATTCTTAGCAGCAGTTTTTTTTTTTGGTTAAAACTCACATAGAGGCTTACATGTTAATTATATAAAAAAAGAGAGCTACATGCCCTTAGAGGATCAAATGCTCCCTAAAAAATATATCATTCAAAGGAAAATCTAATGAGCCAATGATCTTAACTATTACAAAAAACAAACAGAAAGTAGCCAGGGAGGCAAGAAGTCGAGCAAGATCTTCAATGAAGGCTTGAGGGACAAAAGGCAGCCACAACTCGAGGGAAAGCAAGCTGAGAGCCCGTCTCTATCGACCGTTTGCATCTGTGCTCGAGGTCATGACTTGCGAGTCGCGTGGGAGGAGATTTCATATTTGTGAGTTTAATCCTAAGATTTGAGATGAAGTTTGCAGAACATATTTAAAAAGAGGACCATTTAAACCTCGCAATCATTATTTCCAAAGAATTAAATTTGGGATAAAAGACATAAACTTTAATCCTATTTGGTTTGACAAGTACTATAATTTGGCTAGAGTATAGCATATTGCCTATATTGTTATCTTTTCCGAGCATCTGGTAGAGGCAATGAAAATGATGAGGTATTTAATAAAAATGAATTTTCAAATAGGAAAAAAACTAAATAGGTTTGAGCTTCATGTAGAAAGCCATAACAATGTGCATAGTAATTCTAGACGAAGCTGTGAAGTCCTAATGAGAAAAAGCTAGCATATTGGTTTTAGATTCCATAAGCAATCAGATCAAACTACAATTACATATCGCATACATCTAAATACTTCGGTCGATTATATAAGATTTATTTTAAGACAAGAATTAGCTTTTCTCAGACATAATTAGTCCTCTAAATAAAAGAATCAAGGAAATTTTTTAGAACTGGTGCAGTTCTTAGCTGAACATAACGATGACATACATGATGTGGTACTAAAAAATGCGCCTAAAAATTTGAAATTAATTGCACATGATATTTAGAAAAATATAATAAGAGCTATGGCTATTGCAATTAGTAAATTCATTACTGAGCAGATTGGTGATATTTTTTTCTCAATTTTAGTTTATGAATCACATGGCACATCTACAAAAGAGCAAATGACAACTATAGTGTACTTTGTTAACAAAAAATGTCTGATAATTGAGCATTTTTTGAGGATTGTTCGTGTGCCAAATACAGCATCAAGTTGTCTGAAAGTAGCAATTGAATAACTCCTTTCAATTTATGGATTAAGCATTTTTTGAATGTGTGGTTAACGTTACGATGGTGCCAGTAATATGAGATGAGAGTTTAATGGTCTGAAGACTCTATTTCTAATGAAAATTAATCAATTCATTACATTAATTACTTACTACATCAGTTTTAGTTAGCAATTGTATCAATTACAAAAAATCATGTTCAAATTGCTTTGTTATTTATTACAATTTCAAATGTGATGAATACTGTTGACATTTTATGTAAGCATCGTGATCAACTTTATGATATACAATGAGAGAAGACATTATATGATTATAGAGTGGAGAACTAATAACAGGGCACGACTTGAATCAAGAAATAATCCTTAAGCGTGCAGGCGATACACGATAGATCAATCATATTATGAATTCATTATAAGGTTATCATAATTCTTTTTGCAATTATTGATATCTTGGAAATTATTTTGGAAGATGGTGTAAGCTCATAACAAAGAGGTCAAGCATATGCATTATTGGCATCATTACAAACCTTTGAATTTTCTTTTTGCCTACACTTGATGAAATATACTCTTGGTATCACTGTTGAACTATCACATGCTTTGTAGTGAAGAGAAGAAGATATTGTAAATGTCATGTCTTTGGTTCATATATGTAAAATAAGACTACAAGATATGAGAGATAATAAGAGGATAGATTTCATCAGCAAAATAACTTTATTCTGTGATCAGCATAAAATAAATGTTTCACATATGGATTATAAATGGGCTGCTCGTGGCTGATCTCGTTGTAGAGCTCAGAATATTACAAATTCATATCATTTTCAGGTTGAAATTTTCTTAATAGTTATTAAATTGATATGCAGCTTTAGGAGTTGAACAATCATTTTACAAAAACTCTGTGTTGCCTTTTTCTATTGCATGTTTGAATCCTAATAATGAATTTAATACTTTCAATAAAGACAAGTTGATTAGAATGACACAGTTTTATCCAACTAATTTTACTCTTTATGATCATGCAATTCCTAAAAATCAGTTGGACACTTATATTATAGATATTGATATGATGATCAGTTCTCTTCATTAAAAGATATAGAAAGTTTTGCTGAGAAAATGATCCCAAGTAAAAAGGATATAATATATCATCTTATTTTTAGACTACTGGTATTGACATTAGTATTGCTCATCACAATAGCAGGCATCAAAAGAGTATTTTCTATTATGAATATTATAAAAAATCAGTTGCAAAATAGAATTGAAGATCAATTGATAAATGATTTATTAATCATTTATATTAAAAAAGAAAATTGCCTCCAACTAAAAAGCACCCGCATAAAGGTTAACAAAAGAATAGGCAAATAGAGGAAAAAATAAAGAACGAGGGCACCCAACCCAAGCAACAATGACCACCAAACCAACAACCAACCAAATAGCCCATAAAAGCTAGCTCATGAAGACATAAGAAAAGAAAGAATAATAACATAAGCTTGTCACCAACCAACAAACATAACACCAACAAACAACTCAGGCCAGCCACCAACCAACCATCACAACAATATGATAGAAATAGAACAAGGACAGCCAGAATACAAAACCAAACAACTCGAGCAATGTTAAACCCTTTAAGTAAAAATAAACTAAACTCTTAAACATCGAGACACCTTTTTGTGTAATAGTCAAAATTTTATTAAGAAGTTTTGCAATTAAGCATGCTCATCCCAAAAAAAATCTTAGGATGGATGATCTTTTGGGAAGTTACACCAACATGATAAAATCATGAGACTCTTTGGTTGAACCGGAAAATATCTCAATAATTAAGAGTTTAGGCTATTACAAATGATATTAGAGCAATACACCAGCCGGACTAAGTGTCATATAAGATAAAGTTTAATGTCATGAAAGCCACCTCTCGAACCCTATATGAGACAAAATGCTACATAGTGGGACTCACCACTTGAACTTATAGGGGACACCTCTAGAATCCTATTTGCCTAGTGGATGATTCTGGGATAAATATATCAATGAGAACTTCATTATTTAAGTGGGGGGAGATTATGAATCCTCTTAAGTAAAAAAAAAAAAAAGTCAAACACTTAAACATTGATGTGCCTTTTGATGTAATGATTGAAATTTTATTAAGATACTTCACAGTTAAACATGCTCATCCCGGAGAAATCTTGGGATGGGTGACCTCTTGGGAAGTTACACTAACATGATAAGATCATGAGGCCCTTAGGACAAAACTGAAAATATTTCAATAGTTAAGAGTTTGTGCTATTACAAGAAAGGCCCAAAAAACTAGCAAAAGACCAACAAACCACCCACACACCAAAACTATTCATAAGACTTAGATCTAGAAGCATTACTCATATAATATTTAAAATTCTGCACCAAAATTTTCCTTTTAGGTTTCTTGTGTTTCGTGCCCGAGACCAAAATAAAGTCATCCTTATCCACTTGCACAGCATTTAAATTTAAATCTTCCAGCGAGACATTACACCCACCATCATTAAAATCCCCATCAATACAAGTATCACCCGAGAGATCATAAACCCAATCAAGATGGTCCACAGGTTCATGACAGGGAAAAGACTGAAACAACCTATCAGTTAAATCTTTTAGATCTTCATCAAAAATAGGAGAGAGCGGAAGATTAATAACATGAATCTTATTAGAAACATCAAATCCACTAATAAGAAGATCAAAAGAAATCACAATACCGGATTCAAAAACAACATTCAACAAACTAAATCCAATAAAATCAAATGCATCTTTAATAGGTGAATGCAAGCTAAAACACTAGAGACATGAACAGGGTTTGCTTATATAAAACTATATTATTGCCTTCCAAATTCACAGCTTCAGCAGAAATAAGAACAGAGTAATTGAGCACAGGAAGAGCTATAGGAATATTTTCATTGATACCACTAGGATTATTTAAGCGAAAGATATGTTGTTCCTTAGCTAAATTCAAATTTTAAACCAGCTTGTTTTGTTCATTCAAAGGCAAGTCAATGGAACCACAAATGGGGAACATTAACGTTATTATCCGAGACATGTTTAGGCACACCGATTTTCCTCAAATGAGGATTTAATAAGAAGCACTCCATTTTTTTTTTTTGTGACATAAAGACTTACAATTAAAGCAAATTTCCAAGAATTCATTCATAAAAACCTTCTGAATGTAGCCGAATTTCTTTGGGCCTAACCAAATGAAATAATGATACTTTTTTGTAATGTCAAGTTCAACTAAAATGAGGGCCACCAACGGTCGGGAGCTCGGTGTGGGAGCTGATCTCCCAACCGTCAGTGGAATTATCCGTTTGAATCGGTCACCCAGACAAAGAACCTAATCAGTGTAAAATGCGAGGGGAAAAGAAATGTGAGCAGAGATCCGGAAAGGAGATCCAAATGAGAACAATCGAACTCTGAGATATCAAAAATTGGAGACTACTTTATCAACTTCATAAAGCAATTTTCAACATAATATGATTGATGCACAAAGACCCTACCATAATCCATATCGTTATATAACTTGATCAAGACATGCCGCTGATCTAAGAGGGTGATCGAAAATTCACCCATCATTTTCAAATTGAAAAAAAAAAGAATGGAATCTAAAATAGATATGCACAATAGGAAGTTGCCAACCAAGCAAAAAATCAAATGTCTTGGCAAGATGTTTCACTTCTCCTCTAGAATTCATAGAGCAGGTAAACCCCAAAGGGTAGTAACCTTTTGAAGCTACAGGAGAAACTAGTATTTCCGATGGACAAAAGCCGTGAACGTGATCTACCGAAAATATTGACTTTCAGGAGGATTTTCGACAGAAAACGGGAAGACGGTAAAATGTGTGTCGGAAACACGTTTCCGACGAAAATAATACCGCAAAAAATATTTATGGTGGATTCATCGGCTGTTTTCCGACGAAAATGTTGTCTCAAAAACGACGATTCCATATCCTTGTTTTCGGCGGTCAGGATCGACGAGTATCACCGACGGAATATCTGTTATAATTTTTGGCAAAAAAAACTGTTGAAAACGTTGCAACAATTCGTTGTTTTGTAGTTACCATCAAATAATCCACCAAAAACTTATATCATAAACATAAAAAATAGTCAATCATTCCTCTTAATTATTCAACAACACAACAATCTTGCAAAAAGCATATATATACCATACACATATTTCAACTTTGAAAAGAAAAAAAAATATTTAAAAAACTTTAAGATAAAATTTTTTTACTACAAAAATCACTCAAAATAATAATTAAAAATGCTTATAATATTTATAACATAATCATGTTCACTTAAATAAATTTTTTTCGCAATTAATTTTCAATTATTAGCATAATGGATAAATTTATGTGATTATATATCAATTCAACAGACACTATTAATTATTAATACACAGCCTGTGAACTCACAGTCCGAATTCTTTCCGAACGGACTAGGCACGGAAATTACCCGCTCTCTTGCTCCATTTCTCAAGTAAAGCCGTTGTCTTGATTCGAAGCTCGAACCCTGCGGCTTATCTCTTTGTCATGCATGCGTCTGCTTCCCGCTCGAAGAGCTCTCAAGCTTCAAGCAAGGATCCTCCTCCTATCAAGATTAACTTCTTTCCAATTTCATATCTTCTGCACCCAATCGACAGAAATATCTTCGGCAGTTCCTCTCACCTCTCTTCAATGCGGACATCTCTTTCAATCCCTCACGAATTCAAGATCATACAGGAAAGGCCAACAACTTCATACTTTCATTCTCATTTCTGGCGTCCTCATCGATAACACCTATCTCGCTACTAAACTTTCCGCCTTTTATGCTATATGTGGCAAAATGGAAGAGGCCCGGGTAATCTTCAATGGTATTATGTTAAAGAGCTCCTTTTTGTGGAATATGATGATAAGAGGATTTTCATGTAGTGGATTTCCTCTTAATGCCCTTTTTATGTACCGGCAGATGTTGGGGTTTGGCAAGAAGGCCGATAATTTTACTTACCCATTTGTTCTTATGGCCTCTGGTGATCTGGTTCTTGACGATGTGGGTAAAAGGATTCATTGCGAGGTGATTGTTAATGGATATGGTGCGGATGTTTATGTGAGTAATTCTCTCCTTGCAATGTATTCAAAGTTTGGAGATATGGAGACCGCTCAGAAGGTGTTTGACCGAATGCTTGTTAGAGACATAACTTCTTGGAACACAATTATTTCAGGTTATGTGTATAATGCTCATCCAGAGAAGAGTTTATCAATTTTTGTGGATATGATTTTAGATGGATTTCGGTGTGACCAGGTTAGTTTTCTTGGTGTACTGTCTGCGTGCTCTGATTTGGGTGCATTCTGCCAAGGAAAGGAGATTCATGCTTATGTTCTTCGAACTGGAGTTGAGTTCAATAGTTTTTTGTCAAATGCTCTTATTGACGTCTATGTGAAATCTAACTTTTTAGCCGGAGCAAAAAGACTGCATGAAATGATGTATATGAGAGACACTATTTCATGGAACACCCTGATCTTTGGCTGTGCCAGGTATGGTTATGCCTTAGAAAGCTTAAGCCTTTTCCATCAAATGAATTATGAAGGCATTTACCTTGATGTTGCCACCTTTCTAGCAGTATTAGGAGCTTGTGGTCAGCTTGCAGCTTTACACTTCGGAAAGAATTTACATTCCCATCTTAGTAAAATAGGGCTTGATCATGAGGTTTCCATTGGAACTGCTCTTATAGACATGTATGCTAAGTGTGGCAGTTTAGCTCACTCTTGTCAAATTTTTGATGAGATGCCCACAAAGAATCTAATCTCTTGGAGTGCAATGGTTTCTGCCTATGGACTACATGGAAGGGGTGAGGAAGCTGTCGATTTTTTCAATCAAATGAAGAAGAAAGGAATAAAGCCAGACAAAGTCACTTTCACCTCAGTTCTATCAGCATGTAGTCATGCAGGATTAGTTGATAGTGGGAAGGAAATATTTCTCCAAATGCAACATAGGCATGCAATCACTCCTTCTGTTAAGCAATATTCCTGCATGGTTGATCTTCTTGGAAGAGCTGGGCATCTGGATGAAGCATACAAGCTAATCCTTGATATGGAAGTGATGCCTAATGTTGACGTCTGGGCTGCACTTCTTGCTGCTTGCCAGATCCATCACAATGTTGAGCTGGCAGAAATTGCTGCTCAGCATGCTTTTAACGTCAGGCCTCAAGGCTTTGGTGTTTACATCTCCCTCTCCAATATTTACGCCAAAGAGAAGAGATGGGATGATGTGAAAAGGGTGCGTGGTTTGGCAAGACGAGACGGACTGAGAAAGCCACCTGGTTGCAGTTATTTTGAGTTGGATTTGGAAATTCACAGGTTTCTAGTAGGAGATAAGTCTCATCTACAATCAAAGGCTATGAATGCCACGTTAGTTGAGTTAAAACGGATGGTGAAGGAAGCTGGATATATCCCAGATACCAGCTCAGTATTTTATGAAGTCGAGGTTGAGTTGAAGGAAAAAATTCTTTAGGAATACAGTGAGAGGCTTGCAATTGCTTTTGCTCTTTTAAACACATGCTCCGGAACAAGCATTCTAATCACCAAAAATCTCAGGGTGTGGTGATTTTCATACAACAACAAAACTTATTTCTAAGCTTGTCAATCGAGAAATTATTGTAAGGGATGCTCGTAGGTGCCATCACTTTAAGAATGGAACCTGCTCTTGTTGTGATGAATGGTGAGTTTAAATATATTGATGAGCAAATGATATTTTAACTGGTTTTTTTAACTTAATGTTTCTGACGTAATGACCTTTTGCTTGGTTAAAGTTTTCTTGCACTATGTTTTAGTATTCTAAATGTCCTGTCAGTTTTTCTTTTTTTTTTTTGCTTTGATTTGACATTTCAACTTTTAAACTTTTATTTGCCTTTAAAAAGCCTTTTATTTCTCTGCAATTCTTTGAATGATGGGTTGGGGGAAGTAAAATCAGACAACGAAATAAATAAGAAATATAAAATACAGCAAAAAAGAAAGAACACCTTGATTTAACGTGGAAAAACTCGAAGCCGGGAAAAACCCATGGAGCAACATCACACCAAGAAATTTACTATGAAAATTTAAAAGATATATTACAGATCTCTCTTTTCTCTTACTCTATTCTTGCTTCTCTTCACCTTTGCATTATTTTCATAGTAGGACATTTAAAAGAAACATAAAGAAACCATCAGGAGACACTAAAATTAATGAAAAATGAAAAAGAAAATGGTCAGTCCATCTCACAACGTAGCGTCTCTAGTCTGCCTAACAGCGTCGCAGTGCCCCCTGACAACACTACAACACCGAAGTTTGGAGCACCGTAGCGCTCTGCTTTCTTTCTTTCTCTAAGCAAACTATGCAGCACTGGGGCGCTCGAGTACAAAGCGCCACAACATCCTCTGGTAGCACCGCAACACTAAGGTTTAAAGCGGCACTGTAGCGCCCCGCTCGCTATCTTTCTCAAAGCAAACTATGTAGCACCGGGACGCTTGGGTATATAGCGCCGCAACGCCTCATGGAAACACTGTAACATCGAGGTTTGAAGTACTATAGCACTCAACTTTTTGTCTTTCTCCAAGCAAACTATACAACATCGGGGCCATCAGGTATACATCATCGCAAAGCCCCAAAGAAGCATTGTAGCAACAAGGTTTAAAGCACCGTAGCGCTAAACTCTCTGTCTTTCTCCAAGCAAATTATATAGTACCTGGGGGATCAGGTACACAGCACCACAACGTTGTATGAAAAAGAAATTCTGATGCAAGGGGGACGACCCCTTGCAACCCTCCTCCCCCCTCATTGAGCTTAACCACTATAATTGAGGTACGAACCAACAATATAATATGATTAATTAACACATTCAGATTCTACACAAACTAATAATCTTTTACTTAGAAACAGATTACAATCAATCATTCTCCCGATCTGTAACATCAATCATAATACATATAGTGTGGCTCATCCCACTCTCATCTGAAGCTATACATAGATTCAGTTTATAAACTGTCACCATCTTTGTTAGCATGTCTTTTGGATTCTGGATCATGTGTATCTTCCACAAAGATAACTGACCATCTTCCAGAAGTGATATGATGAAATGACATCGAAGATAGATGTGCTTCGTCTTGTCATGGAATGCAATATGTTTGGCTAGATGAATAATATTCATGCTGTTAGTATGCAACTTCCTATTCCTTTGCCCTTTGCCAAGTTCTGCAAAGAAACTTTGCAACCACATCATCGCCTCGCTAGCCTAAGTGATTGTGATTGCAATATACTCAGCTTATGTGGTTGAAAGTGTAACAATCTTATGTAATTGGAAACCCAACTCAATGTAGTCTTTCCTAAAGTAAAGATATAACCAATTTGTGCTTCTCCTACCATCAAAATCTCCAGCAAGATCATAATTTACATATCTATGAAGATCATTCCTTGCATCTCCAAAGTAAAGTGCTTTGTCAGCCGATCCTCTTAAATGCCTGAGAATCCACTTAACCGCCCCCAATGAAGTTTGCTTGGGTTACTCATAAATATGTTGACTAATTTTGCTGCATATGTTATATCTGGTCTCGTATATATCATAGCATACATCAAACTTTCAACTTTTAAAACTTATGAAATTCTCTCCATCTATTTTTGTTCTCCTTTAAATATAGGAGATTGTTCATTAGATAGCTGAAAATAACTATCCAAGGGAGTGCAAACTGGTTTTACCTCATTCATGTTGAATCTCTACAACACCTTTTCAGCATACTCTCCTCGAGATAACTTTAGTATACCTATATGTCTATCCCTGATTATCATATCGAGAATTTTTTTCGTTGGATTCAAATCTTTCATTTCAAACTCTTTTGATAACGGCTCCTTCAGACATCTTATCTTATTTATATATGATCATGAAATCAACATGTAATCCACATACAAATGCATAATGATGTAAGTATTATCAAAATATTTAAAAAAATAACAGTGATCGGCCTAACACCTTGTATATTCATTGTCTGACATAAACCTATCAAATCTCATGTACTATTATCTTGGTGCCTGCTTTAGCCTATATAGGCTCTTCTTGAGTCTCACATTATATATTTTTATCTATGGCCACATATAATTGAGGTTTTTCCATGTACAACTATTCTTTAAGGTCACCGTGAAGAAATGTTGTTTTTACATCCATTTGCTTTAGATGTAAACTCTCCACTGTTATTATGCTTAGCACAACTCTAACTGTAGTTATCTTCACCACTAGATAGAAAATTTTAGTATAGTTCACTCTTTCTTTTAACTATAAATTTGGCCTTGTAGCGCTTGTTGCCATTAGGTTCTTCTTTCAGTCTATAAATTCATTTATTTTGCAGCATTTTCTTTCCATCTGGTAGCTCTGTCAACTCTCAAGTTTGATTCAACTCAAGTGAATTCATCTCATCATTCATAGTTTGTTCTTATTTGAATCATCAACTTGAATGGTCTCATCATAGCACTTTGGTTCACCACCACTTCTTAGCAATAGGAAAGGAGAATACCTTTGTATTGATTTTGAAATTATGTTGGATCCATTGTTTAAAATTGTGTAATATGAGGCTCGCCTCAATGCAATTCTAGTAAAAAACACATCGAAGCTTACGCCTCAAAAAATTTTTATGAGGCTTGCACCTCAGCTTGGTTGAGGCCCGCCATGCCTTATTGGTGTGAGGCTTATTCCTCACCCAATTTATATGTATTTTTATTCAAACTTACCTAAATCCTAAACTAAATCCCTGAACAAATCATGCTTTAATGCACCCCCAAGCTTCAACAACTTCCTCTCGACTGTCTTGACCTCCAACCCTCCATTTTTTCCATAGTCACTACCGTCGTAGCTGCTACCAAGGATCACTTGAAATCATCACATCATCTTTATGTTCATAAAAGTATTTGTGAAAGATGAAGAGACTAAAATAATTGAAAAAGAAGCAATTTGGGAGGTATTGGACTCCATAGGATGAGGCAGTGGAGAGGCTAATTTGTTATGATTATGACTCAAATAAAAAACCCTTTAGTGATGATGTGCATAAGATTTTTAAATTTTTGTCAACTATTTTAATTTTCTTTAAGAATTAAATGTGGATGAGTAGGAAATTGAGAAATAAGGAATTTGAAGTTGAACTTGATATTATATGATACTTTTATGACATTCCTATATTTAATATTATTTTATTATTATAATATTTGTATTTCAATTCTATTTCGCGCAATTTATCACTTGTCACTTTATCTCTTGTGCAATTTTTTATTTTATATTTATGCTGATTTGTTACTTTATAATTTAATAGAAAGTTAATATGTCATTATTTAATAAATTATTTGAGTATTATATAAAAAATTTACTTTTAACATTTATTTTAATTTAACGTAATTTTTTTTATTTTGAGGCTTATGCCTCAAAATGCCTTGAGGCTTAAGCCTAGTCTCATGAACAAAAAACACCTCAATACCCAATTGCGCAATTTTAAACCTTGGTTGGATCTCTTAACTTCAATAACATGTGTATAAGAAACCCTATGTACTTCATCAACTTTAACTTTTTGATCATCATCATCCTCTATCTCAACGTATTTGGAAAAATCTATAGAAGTCTCATTTACATTAGTGTAGATTTCATTTTCAATGAATTTAATATCCATGCTCCTAATGAATTTTTTATTAGAATAATTCCATAATTTATAGCCAAATTCATCTAAGTTATCTTCTATAAATATACACTTTGTGAGAACCCTTTGAATTTCAAGATTTTTGGTGCAGGTTCGTCTGTACGAACTGAACAAGTTCAAATCAAAGGCTATCGTACCAGTACGAACGTAAAACATCATCTGTACGAATGTGGTCTGAAGGCAATCTAGAGTCGATTGTCCCGGTACGCACGAAAAATATCGTCATTACAATCGCAAATACCTTTTTAAGCACTGTTTGACTCGTTTGGAAGAGAGAGAGAGAAAGAGGAGAGAGAAAGAGGGAAAGAGGAAGAAATCCGTATTTTGGACGACTTCGATTCGTTTTCGTCCGTCGATGCAGTTGATCTACTCTAGGTAAGACACATTATGCCTTTCTTCATTTTCAGAAATGTGAGTTTTGACGAATATTTTGATTAAAGTTTTGTGTCCGTTAGTCAAAATCGTGAATAACTTTACACCGATAAAACTTTTACCGCGTAACTTTTGGTATGTTGTAGAGATTATGAAATTGCACGTTTTGAGTATTTTATGAAAATTTTCACTGGGTATTTTGAAATCTGTGGGATTTTTATAGAATAGAAAATTATTGAGATATCGAAAAATGTTATTTCAGTATAATAAAAGTTTTGAAATGTTGTTTTACACGATCTCTGAAAATTTAGTAATTTTTTGAAATTGTTTATTTTTTATTCGTTGAATTTTCTATTGTCCGTCGATCGAATCTGATGGCATTTTTTATGCATGTCGGATTTCTTTAAAATTGTTATGATATGATATTTTGTGTATATGTGATTGAATGATATTTACTGGGAGGCATAAGGGGTCAGAATCTTTTGAGATTCTGTCTGTGTCAGGAAAGGGATGCATAAGGGTCAGAATCTTTTGAGATTCTATCTGGATCCGAAAAATGAAATATGATATAAATAATTATATATATATATGATTGTTATTGTGCTATAAGCACAAAGGGAGGTATAATGGGCCAGAATCCTTTGAGATTCTGTCTGTTTCATGGAAATTCAAAAAGGAGACATAAGGGGCCAGAATCCTTTGAGATTTTGTTTGTGTTAGGGAAAATTTGAATAACTCTGAAATGTGATTTGAAATCTGATCTGAAATGTGATTTGTAAGATTCTGTGATACGAATTTTATTCAATTCTTTGATATATATTATTTGATTATGTATGATTATATGTTATGTACGATTATCTGAATTTAGTATGATTTGTCTAATTTATGTACGATTATCTAAATTTAGTATGATTTGTCTGATTTATGTACGATTATCTAAATTCTATCTGATTGTCTGATTTCTATACGATTATTCGAATTCTGTGTGTTTATATGGATTCTGATGAATATCTGAATTATGTATGGCTATTTGAATCAGTGAATGAATTACTATATATTTCCGTTTCATGATTTTCAATTCAGTGATTTATTTGATTTGCAATAAACTATTTTTAAATCTTTAATAAAGTATTTTGAAATGAGAGCGTCTGAGAATTTAGATCGACTAGTGTGATATTGCTGAGCTGTTAGCTCACTATGGTTTTATTCATGGTTTTCAGGATCTGAAAAAGGGAAAGAAGTTATGGACTAGCCGCTCAGGTTCTGATCGAAAGTTATAGGTATTTTTATTATTTTGATTTTTGTATAGTGATGGCTAGTAACTTTTCTGTTATGTACCTTCTGTCTGTAGCCATATACTGTAATGTATATGATTATTTTGATGAATGAAAGAAATATTTTGAATGAGTTCTTCTGTATTTAAAATTTTTTAGTGGCTCTGTGGCTTAGTTTATAATATGTATCGGAAGAAAGTCTGAAAAGAAATTCCAAAACTAGATCTTGGGGTTCGCCCGTCGCAACTCAACACGATAGGATCCGTCCTGGTCAAGTTGATTTGTGACACACTTAATTGATTTTGAATCAAGCTTACTCTAAGATCTTACATCAATATGAACTTAGGATGAACAGCCAAAACTTTGAGATGAAACTTACCTCTATGCCACTCCAGGCTTCCTTAGATAACCTCTCATTCAAAGGAACTAATGGTCCATAATTGATTAGATAAATAGCATTATTCATTGCCTCTGCTCAGAATTTTTTGGGTAAACCAATATACAACCTCATTATGATGCCCCATAATTTAATTTGAAATAATTATTTTTTTATTTTGTAATATGTAATAGCCAGAGGTACCTAATTTCTATTATCAATATAAATACCAGTGAAAATAAAATTATCGATCAAAATATTAATATATACATCAGTATTCATTTTCCCAAAAATCATGTACACTACTTAGAATTTATACAATCATATCACAACTACTCTGCATTAGTACAAAAGAATAGTCAATATAATAAGAACCTAAACTTAGAGGATTCTAATCAATCTCACACTCTTGCTCCCTTGACATGACCTGAAATCATTTAATCACATATAATAAGCTCAAGAGCCTAGTAAGTAATCAAATTCTACAACTAACTCAAATCAGGGTAAAAAATCATGGTAAGAATCTAGATTAAGCATATAAGGTAGAAGGGAGGGTGTGTTTGTGGAATAAATGGTAGCAACAAGTGTCCATGATTGGAAAAGAGGGTTGGGAACTATACTGCCATCTGAAGCTTGTATTTGTTTGGGAGGTTTAACAACCAAACTAGTAAGATAGGATTCAAAACCATTTGTAGAAAATAGTTTGAGCATTTGGGCTTTCCCAATTGGATAGTTTTCGGTAGAGAGTTGGACATTAACCAAGGTTTTGACGAAGGACATAAAAAACTTGAGTTTAGGTGGTATTATGACATCACAGTTGGTGATGAGAGTATGAAGAGTAGCAGAGGAAGAAGATGAATCCACCATTGAAAAAGCAGGGAAGAAGAATACTATCATGAGAGATCTGATACCCTGTTAAAACCTGCAATCAGAATTAGCAGAGAAAACATAAAACAGAGTAAAGCAGACAAGCGAATGGATGTAGAAGAAAAGGTTTCCATTGACCCCTTTGTTGCTACAATTTGTCTCTATAAAGGTAGAGATTAGTTATTAATGAATGGGGAGGATTAGAGAGCAAATATCAGACGGTGCAGAAATTCTGCCAGCAGTAGTGCGAAGAGGTGGTAGCAGCAGTGCACATGGCTCGGCAAGCCAATGTATCCTCAGGTAAGAGTGTTTATCAGTTGCTCTTATCAAAGGCAAGGGCTAATTCAAGAAGATGGTAACAGGAACTCCTTCACAAAACATAAAAGACACTACTCTTCCTGGCAGTAGTCGAAATCCAGTAGATGCAATCAGCTTTTCGGCACGTAAGTGCTTCAAATGCCATAAGTTTGGCCACATTTCCTCAGGATACCCAAATCGTCGAATTGTCACTCTCATAGAGGATTCGAAGTACAAACATGAAGTCTCCATCGCGCAAGACGTGTCAAGATCTGAATACGGACCACCTCAAGACACCGCCATCATTCCCGCGGACGAAGGCAAATTGTTGGTCATTTGACGACTGCTGCTCACAAAAAGAACAAGTTGGACAACGCCATAACATGTTGAAAACTTAATGTACGATAAATTAGAAGGCGTGTAAAATGATTATTGACAGCGGCAGCCACAGAATATGATGTCTATGATAATGGTTGAAGAGTTTAATTTGCCTACGGAAAACAACCCGAAACCATATACCTTGTCTTGGATCCAAAAAGCTAATGAGGTCCAAGTATCTAAATGTTGCCCTGTCAATTTTTCCATGGGAGATTTTGAAGAATTAGTTTTGTGCGATGTGGTACTAATGGATGCTTATCACCTCCTCCTAAGTCGACCGTGACAATACGATTAGAAAATAATACAAGATGGAGAAGTCAATATATATTCCTTTAAACATTAAGGAAAGCAAATTATGTTAGTTCCCTTACCTGATGAGGAACCCACACTTGATCAGCAACTATTAAAGCAATCTATGTTCTTACAAGCACTCCATGAAACCAGCAAAGGGTATTTACTATTACTCTTGAGTTGAATGCAACCACACATCGCGATACTTCAGCAGTGCAAAATCTATGGCATGAGTATTCGAATGCTTTGATAATGGAAATTCCGTCAGGGCTGCCACCCAAGTGAGAAATTCAACATGCTATTGAGTTTGTTCTTGGATCTATAATACCAAATAGACCTGCTTATAGAATTAGGATGGATGGGCATACATAACTAAAAAGGTAGATTGAAGAGCTCATGTCCAAAGGCTTCATGCGGCTCAGCGCCAGCCCGTGCTGTACCCACCTTGTTGGCTCTGAAGAAGGATGGCACGTGTAAAATGTGCATTGATAGCTGAGCTGTCAACAAAATTACTGTTAAATACAAGTTTCCCATTCTCTACATTAATGACATTTTGATCAATTGCCTGACGCCACAATATTTTTTAAAATTGATCTCTGAAGCGAAAATCACCAAATAAGTATGAGACCTAGTGATGAGTGGAAGATCGTTTTTTAAACACACAAGGGGCTATATAAGTGGACGGTCATGCCATTCGTGATCACAAATACACTAAGTACTTTTATGAGATGAATGAATCATATTATACAACCTATTTTATACAAATTTTTGGTAGCCTATTTTAATGATATTCTCATCCACGAGAGGACTTAATCGAACACAAGCAACACCTTCACCAAGTTTTGTATCTGCTGTGGCAACAACCTTTTTTGCTAACATGTAAAAATGCGATTTTGTATCTAATTAGATTTCCTTCCTAGAACACCAAATTTCGACTGCTGGGTTAGAGGCTGATATGTCCAAGGTAAAAGCCATACAAACTTGGCCCATTCATCAATCTATTACCGATGTCAGAAGGTTCCTATCGGCTCTAAAAATTTGGCTCCGGCCTCCCTGTTGCTTTTTCAATGGAGTTTTAACGGATTAAGTTCCAGGGTAAATTTTGGGAAGACAGATGGTTTGTAGATAAGACACTACCCATAGATTTTGCCCTCATTTTGCGAGGACTTTATGATATGAGTTCTGGTTTCCTATATGTGCAAGCCCCTATAGTTTATTATCCCTCTCGATCATGAGATAGAACTTTTGATTTAGACTAGTCATTAATCAAATACGTAGAGAATACATTTTATCTATCATATAATAGTAGCATGGGCATTTGGAGTGGTTGGATAATTGGTATTTAAAATTTGAAATTGCACCATCTTGCACTTAAAATAGATTGTGGGGGAATGAATGATGGACCTGATCAATATCTCATGGTTCCGTTGTCCCGGGCCATCATGGTCCCTGGTATACTTAATCATAGGAGGTAGTCGACCCAACCTGACAGAAGGATCCCTATCGACAACCATGGGTTGTTTCGTCCAAGGGTACCTTGTAGACCTAAGATGAATGTTTGTCTAAGGAAAAAATTTGAATCCACCTTAACTAACAGAGGGCTTTGTATCCTATCGATTATATCATATTAATTCATATGTAAAAGATTTGATGTCACTAAGGAACATATTGGCTCTGGCCATAACTTTTATCTTGTGATGCTATTTGGCGGCAAACCACACAATTCAGAGGGTCTCGGGTCATAACCATTTATCCTGCGGTGCCATTTGGTGGCAAAACCGCCGGTCATAGGACACGTACGATATCCTTACTGGTAGGAGATTATTTGAGAAAAGATCTTAGTGATATTCTTAACTAGGCATTAGCTCTTTCTGAGCTGAAATGATTTTCAGATTGTCCACATCGGCAAATCGTTGCGGAGGGTGGATAAACTTTTTCTTTAAGTGTTTTGATGATTTATTTTAATTTTAAATATTTTTGGATTTTTGGTATTTCTTGGATTTGGAATTTTATGGGTGTTTGTGGGCATTTGAAGATACCTGAAGGTGTTTGAAATATTGGAATTAATTCCTTTGATTGATATCTATGTTCAACATGGCCATCATCAAGGTGTTTGGGGTCATTTTCATTTGTGCATTGAACCTTGTCGATTCTATCGAGCTGTCACAGAGGATCGGGTTGCGTAAGCTTTATGCTTTTGTTGATAAATTTCTTTTGTCATAGACCTTGAAGGCCTTATATAAACGTATAAAATAGATATTCTAGTCGATGCCTTGATCATGTATTTGATTAATAATTCAAGCAGTGACGACTCATATCTATCCATATAGAAGGATCAGACTTGAATTGTGGTTCATTTATAGACATGTACAGCATCCCTAGATTTCACGTGTGTGCCCATAATATGCTCGCCGAGGCCCACGCGGCGGGGGGGGGGGGGGGGGTGGGGGGGGGGGGGGGGGGTAATTCTTGAAATATTTGTAAATGCTTTCTGTCTGCTTGCATGGATATTGCGAATCATGTGGCGTGTTATAGCAGCTTGTGGATTGAGTTGTTTGCTGCTTTGTATAGAAAAATTGTCGTACAATGCTTGTTGCTTTCTGCAGGTAGCTTGTTGTGCACTAATGAATCTCATATTATACATTTGTAGATTTTGCATTCACCACGGACATGATGCCCCTGTTCGTTGCCGAGTTGCTTTACATACAAATCTTCTAACGCCTATCATAGACATTTGTATTTGTTGCAGTCTTGTGCTCGCTCACATACAACCCGTTGTATGCACAACAATTTTTTTACAGTAACTCGTAAGAACCTGCATTTACTATGGTCCTTTGGCAATTTGCTCGTAAGTGACATTTGATGTGTACGTCATGTCTCCTACAACTGTTACGACAGCCTATAGGCATGTTTGCGTTTACTGTATATCATCTGCTT